TGGGAGGCTGAGGCAGGAGACTCGCTTGAGCCCAGGAGTTGGAGGTTGCTGTGAGCATGATGCCATGGCATTCTACCCAGGGGGACAGCTTGAGGCTCCGTCTCAAAAAAAAAAGAGACAGAACATCCACTGGATTTGGCAATTCTGTAGAGGCAGTTCCAGTGAAGGGAAGGAGTGAGTTGAGGGGGAAAGTACAGGCAAAGGAGTACAGGTTGTCACTTCTTAAAGTTTTCTGTGAGAAAGCACAATGAGGCCACTGAGTAGGCAGAACACAAATGTTTCAAATCTTTATTAGTTCAGAGCAAATCTTCATTGGTTCTATTCCCTTTTCCCTGCTGTAGTTGTCTGATTCTCTTAGCACAGGAGGTGGGTAGGGCAAAATAAAGGGGTTTAATTGCCTTTTCTTGAGTTTTGTGATTTTTCTCACTATTTCCTTAACATGATTATATGATTTTCTTCTCCCCTACAGTATCAGGCACTTTTCCCTCTGTTGCTCTATTTGTCATTTTCTGTAAATTAGTCCCTAGATGACATGTTACAATGCTGCCACCTTGGAGTGGGAGTAGGAATGGATCCGAAGGCTTGCTGTTTTCACCCTATGTCACAAGGTGGCAGAAGAGCTCACTTTTCCCAAAAGACATCAAAGATAAAGTGAGTTTTATCAACTTAATTATTTTCATTTGTGACTCAACAGGCCCAAAAGTCAGCCTGCAGGCCATATTTGGGGCTACAGAGAAGCAGGAGACCTGCAGTTAATGAGTCAGAACATCTAGGGGTAGAGAAATAGATCCAGAATTGTTGATTCTCATTGCATATTCCATTGTTTGAATGTGCAGAACTATTTCTCTAGATATTTTGACTGGCTTTGTATTTGGAATATCTGTAGAGTAGGGGATATATCTTCTGATCTTCTTTTCCCACAACAAAAGTGTCAAATTTAGGAGGAGGAAAAAAAGAGCTATAACATAAGTGAGTTTTATGATGTAAGAGCCTAGGAAACTAGGACCAAATGGGTGAATCAGGATAGGTCTGTAAGAATAGCACATGGC